ATAACATCTAGAAGATCCTCATGTTTGGACCAAAAATGTCCATTAACCCATACATTAGGTTCCATAACCAGAGGATCAACATAACTTCAACATCGGCACAGTTGGATGGTCAACAATTTCCACGCTATGGCCACGCATAATTATCTTGTGGAACGTGGGGGGCCTTAATGACATGAGAAAGAGAGTTATGGTTAAAAGTTTATTTAAGGATTGGAGCAGTGAGCTTAATTGTTTTCAGGAACCAAAATATAAGGTGGTTGAAGTAGGGTTTGTAAGTATTTATCATTGAAAACCAAAAGAGACAATTATTTCAAAGAAAAAAACAAAAGAGATAATGACTTCTCCCCCTTCTCTACCACCTGAAAGAAGCCATTTGTCTTTCCTATCATACTTGACAATCCATTTAAGCCTCCTCAACTCTCTGTTGCTTCCGTTTCATCTCTTTCCTACCGAACTATCAGAGTTCTCTACATCCAACAACGATCTTCAGTGGCAGGAAATAATCAAATAGCTTGAGCTTCAAAACTCTCAAAGCTTACTCCAATAACATTATGAAGTTTCTAAATATAGTTACTAACCCAGTCCAGATATCGCCACTACTTGAAGAATCCAAAGAAAGAGACTGGAAACAGATAGCCTTTGGAACCACCACCAATTCATATCCTACCTCAACTCCTCTACTAACATCTTATTTAGAAACTATTGAATTTTAGGAGAAAAAATAATTTTATTTCTCACCCTTTAAATTGTTACACTTAAGGTATTTATAAAATTCTTAACCTACTAATAGGAAAATTCCTATTCTAGTAAACTTATAATTACATTAAATTACCTAATTAAATAAGAAAGCAATTTAAATAATAAAATAGGAAAATATCATATTCAACACCCCCCTCCTCAAGTTGGTGCAGGGATATTTTCATGCCCAACTTGCAAACCAAGTTGCAAACTAGAATCAGATATGTTAGCCAGCAACACAGCTAGACTCAACCCAAAAACAACTCGAGTTCGACTCAAAACGGCTTGAAATTGGCTCAAAAATGGCTCAAAATCGGCTCGAACTCGGTTCAGCTCAAGTCTCATCTCAACTCAGGCAGATCTGCGCAGAGTAGAGATCGCAGCAAGAAAAGCTTCCTGTCAAGCGGCAAACAAGAAGCTGGTTGCTTGGCACTTGGCGCAACTCTGCGCACGGAGGAAGGAGAACCAAATCGCACAACTCCTCGTGCAACTCTACGCAAGGATGAAGAAGAAGCCGGGTTGATCGGTTTTTTTCACGCGTCTCTGCGCGCAGCGGAAGAAGAATAGACTCAGGGTTAACACGTTCCTGCGCGTGACTGAAGAAGAACTTACTTGAGGCAAACGCGACTCTGCATGCGGCTGAAGAAGACGGATTCCGAGGCTCTCTCTTCGTGCGGCTCTGCACGCGGTGGAGGCCAACTGCTCTCTTTCTTCCTTTGCTCTGGCCTCTCTTCTAATCTCCCTCTTTTCTGATCTGAGTCTTTTCTACTCAGCCTATTTTACTATTTTTAGGGTTTTAAAAAAAATTCTAAAATAATCTTACTTTGACTCTGATACCATATTGAATTTTAAGAGAAAGAATAATTTTATTTCTCACCCTTTAAATTATTACATTTAGGGTATTTATAAAATTCCTAACCAACTAATAGAGAAATTCCTATTTTAGTAAATTTCTAATTACATTAAATTACTTAATTAAATAATAAAGTACTTTAAATAATAAAATAGGAATATATCCTATTCAACAGAAACCCCACCAGAAATATGGAACTCTAAAAAGTCTAGAGATGGTCCAAGAAGAAGTGGAAGATGATTGGGCTGAGGGAGAGAGAGACTCACTTGCAAGGCTACAAGCTATTAGACTAACCTCCTCTGAATCCAAATTGGATGCTTCCTCCCAAGTACTACTCTTACAAAGACAGAACCAGATGCCATGAGAGATAACTTTATGGGTTCCACTTGTAGAAGAAGAAGATGCAACTATGAAGTCTCTGCTCGCTCTGGCTCATTCTCTTATGCTAACACCTCTCCATGGATGGGGTTGAAGACTATCACCACATTACGGAACCCATCCCCTTCTCCAAACTAGATGGCTTAACATGGCCTACCTTTTGGGCTTTTACCAAGAACCACAATGCCCTTAACCCAGAAACCCACTGCAAGGAAAAGTTGGGGCAACTTTTCTCCACTTGGAAATTATAATGGCTTTCTACGCCCTGACCTGAATCATAGAATTTCTAGAAAACTACACTTTCTTATTTGCCTCCTGGAGTACTCACACAGCAGGTCAATCCGTGGTTGCACCTAAGCCCATAGGTTGCCCCACCCAAACCTAGCACAATTGGTAGACAATGGCACAATTTGCTAGGAAGGGTTGCTCTTCATCCTTCAATTAACAAAGATCAATCAAAACCTCCTTCCATATCGCCACACTAAAATGACAAACCTATTCAATTACAAAGAGACGTCTCCACCAACCGTCAACTTCAATACCCTTTGAGAAAAGTTGCCTTCTTCTTCTACCCTCATTCCTCTCCACCAATTCTAGGAATCGCCCACCTCTTTTCTTGCCTAACTAAATCCACAACGAGCAGTCTACTCCCATAAGTACTTGTTTCCAAGTTTTGTCCTCTCCAAGCCAAAGAATTCACAAAGAGATCTAAAGAACCAACAAATATCCTAACCAAAGAACTAGAAGGAGAACTTAGCTCTAACCCATTCTCAGTAATTCTGATATTATCTTAGATTTCGGATTTTCTTTCTATCACCAAATGTCCTTGGTGATAAAGAATAGCTTGAGGAACCAACTAGCAGGAAAATCATAAAATAAGAGGATTTTCTTTCACTAGAAAAAGGAAGAGAGAGACAATGGATGACGCAAAACTGTATTAAAGTTAGATTACCAAAACATAATAAAACTTATAATTTTATTAAATATTAAATCATTGTGCTATTTAGACTACAATAGTCTTAGTAGCTTCAAAATTTTACTTTTTTTAATTAGTTCTTATTTTTATTAGTAGTATTATTTCCTAGTCCACTTATATTAGTATTCTTAGTCTATTTCAATTTGGGAGAAGTTACTAATAAAACATTATAAAAATCTTTGTAATTTCACTTTTTCTCAATATCTTTGTAATTTCATTTTTTGAGGTAGAATTAGTTATTTAATAAAATACTCTAAAAGTTTCCCAATTTTCTAATTCTTTCTTTTAAAAAAAAATAATCAATTTTCCATTTCTTTGATGCAACCAAACCATTAAATGTGATGCTTAAGACCTCTTATTGAGTGATGCCTAAGAAATCTTAGATGTGACACCTAGGTTTTCGTCTCCAAATTTCTAACTGGGAACATTGATCCTAGCTTGCCAAATATCAACGTCCGCATAACCTGATATCTCAATAGTGTTGGGAGGACTAAGAAGCAAAAGATATTTTAGGAGTTGTCTACGTTAGTTAATAGATTATTTGGCTAGAATAAAATCTAGAAGTTTTAAACAATGATATTCTTTGCTTCTCTTTTCCTTTCTGGGATGCCATTATCTACTTCACTATAAATTCTATTTCTATTTATGTATTCTTTGTTTCTTGTATCTCTCCACCTTAGCTGAAAATAACTTATCCTCTGAATCTCCTCCGTAAGGTCTCTCTTTAATAATATTTTTTCGTTCATATAAAAATACCTTGAGCATATACTTCCTTACCTAATTATAACAATTCTCATTATCCAGATTCCTAATAGAATAAGTGTACATTTTCACCCTCAATTCATTTTATATTTCTATCTTTCCAAAGAATAGGGAGTTTTTATCTATAGAAAGCTATAATCTAAAAGCAACCAAGAGGATGCATTACCCTAATGCAAAAGATTGCATACAAGATATTTTGTTTTTCAGAAGGGGGCAAAGATTGCTAGTGTCTCTACCCCAAGTGTGTTACCATTGGAGTACCCATTCATCGTGAGATATTCCTTTTAACCTATAACTCTTACTCATTGAGTAAGCTCATCACCAGAGCCCCAACAAAATGTGAATGGTCCAATCAAACCTCTAAACAGGATTGCAAATCAAGAAGGAATAGAGCTACTCAGAAATCTCAGGCAAAACCTCTAGTTAGCCTCCCTTGTTTGTTGAACACTGGACCCCTGCTTGAAGTGGTGGTTGCATACCATTCAACCATCATTTTCATTGGCATATATAGAGTAGTTGAAAAATCTTATATGGCTCAAATTTCATGTTGATTCAATCAATAGAAGAAAACAACAAATAATAATGCAGTTCTTCAAAACATTCCCGTTACTGTATTTTCTTCTCAGATTTTTCAACTTTAAACAATTTCCATCAAATTCATATTGAAGTTATCACCATAAAATTTACTGTTATGTGAACTAGAATTGTTGTATGACTTTTGGAAATTAATTGATGTATAATTTGGCAAAAACTAGAATTTTAGAAAATACACAAGGTTCAGCATACCTTAATTGAGTTGTCTATTGACGAGCTCAGGAGCACAGGCTCATTAGCTAAAAAGTGCAATGAAAGTATAGAATTATCATGAGCATCCTTTATGACTGACTGAAGCCTTTTCTTCTTAAGATTCCATATGCTTATGACACCAAATGAACCTCCAGAAGCTAGAAGTGGCTGCCCACCTATAGAAGCAAGGCAAAAGGCATTTAGGTATAGAGACCTAGTCTAAAGAGAGACTAGATCAGCAGAATGCTTTGCTGATCTATATAACAATTAATTCAATAGCAAAAGGTACAAGAGAATAACAAAAGCCCAAAATCTATAAAATCAGTTGTGAACTATGCAATAAAAAGTTAAATATTGCTTATGCAGATATAGAATAATCTTGACCCCACTATTAGATAAAACTTTTTTTTAGAAGAGGCAACAGACAAACTCCTACTCCATATAATAACCACCATAAATTTAAAATGGACTTCAAACTTGTCCTTCCACATAATTATGGACCAAGTAATTGGTATCAGTCCTTAATCTGTAATGAGGGGGATCTAGGTGACCTCAGAAATTTTGAATTGTACCTAGTGCACAGTTTCTTTTTATATATGGCTCTATAAATAATTTACTATACTTTTTTCTTTTGGAAATTTAAAATAAACTTCAAGTCCTCGAGACCGCATTGCCCTAGAACTACAGGATAAAGACTTCATTATTGTACTATAACCATTTGGAAGCATGGAAAAGCTTTTTAAATTTAATTTCCATCAAAATCAAATATTAAATTCATGGAATTTGGCGTTTCACGTACGAAGGAGTTCAAAAGTCTTTAAGATTGAGTTACGTTTTCTAGTTTGTGGGTATTTTCCTAGGACGGAATGCCAGAATCTCTAAGGACTTAAAGACACTCCTTTTTCTAATTCTTTGGGATAAACTTTGTTTTGTTGGCTTCTGTTTGGGCCAAGGTAAATGGGTATTTTACGGATGTTGCCCTGGTAGTTCTGTGTAGTGATCAACCAGCTATTCTTTTGAGTAGCTAGCCTCTCTTCTCTATTTTTTGCTGGTTTTGTTTTCTTTTAGAGGATATATAAACCTCCTCTTTGTATATTCTCCTTTTAACATATCTTCTTTTGAAATCCAAAAAAAACTCATAGAAAGACATTCTCTATCAAACAACCATATGTCATCCCCTAGTTAATATCATGTACCATATTATTGACCTCTAACAACCTAAAATACCATAGTTATTTTTTAAAAAATAACTAAAATACTGTAGTCATTGTGTTGGACCTAGGATACCACAATCATTTTCTAGGGCCAAAGAAGACTGGGCAGTTAGCAATTGTCTACTTTCCCATGAATAAGCCACAAAGTGCCATTCCAAGATTTACAAATAGAAAAAAAAATAAAGTTACGCATAAAAATGCAGCAAAAGAAGTGTGAAAAAAAAAAATTTGAAAAATGCATTTGAATGAAGACAGAAGTGATATATAGCGAATCAACATAATTGAACACAGAGCTTGCCTGTGCTGAAAGATAAGGCTGTAACAGCGCCTCTAGTAGAATGTGCAAATGTTACAACCTGTTCATCACTTAATATGTTGTGCACATGAATTTTTCCATTAGCACAACCAACTGCTACAACATCTAGTGCAGGTGATGAAACACAACTGCAGACAGATGAATTCCACCCCTTGAACTCATAAAGCTTTTTCTTTGTGCTTATGTTCCAGAGCTGCAAAGAACCCTCTTGGCTCCCAAGAAGAACCTGCTCACATGCTTCTCAATGAGAGAGTTTATATGGAAATATATATATATATATATGTGTGCGGAAGATTAAACAAAAAGAACTTTAATTAAACATTTGAAAGCCTGCACATTAAGATTTTATACCAAAATTTACTCGATCTTTTTGTGACATGTTAATAGCAGTTACCTTGTTTATATATGTATCTGGGTGAATTATACAACTGGGAGTAAAGTTGTCATCAAGTTTAATGTGTCCAAGTGGAGATAGATTCTCTTCAATTCCTTTAAATGCCCATACAAACATATTGCCATCAACATCAATGCTTAAAATATGTTCTCCGAACAACAGCAACAAGTTCACTTTTGCTATATGTCTGCTCCAAGTTGCTACCTGACAAGGCGTCAACTTTCAGTATCAAACAAGCATCTCAACAGAGAAAAAAAAAGTACATGTTCCAGATGACAGCATGTATTTACTTCCCAAGGAAAAAAACATTGAGAAGGCAAAAAAAGCAAATCTTTCTTTTAACATGTCATATTGCAATCATTTCACTTGAAGCAAAGAAATTCATTTGCCTCAGATTTCCCAAAAGTACATTCATACCACAAAAGTAACAAAAAGGAAAAACTCTTTTTCAAATTTCAAGACATTGTGACTTACTACATATGATTTTAAAAAACAATAACAATTGGAGAAAAGGAACAAACGATAAACCATATTAGATCATTTCAAACTAACTAAAAAGGAAAAAAGATAAAAAGAACAAATAACATTTTTTGAAAAAAAAAAGAACAAACAACATTTGACCGTCATAGTTCATAGCAACCAATATAGAAGTATATTAATGAGACTGTTGTGACAAACCTTGTGAGCACGCTTAAAAACTGCAATGTTGTTCCCATATGCAGCAAATGTATAATCACGATAAGAAGCAAGAGCTCGAACCTTCTTTGGCAATTGAGGCCCTTCATGAAGAAGATTTCAATTAGTTTGAATTAGCTCAAAGGCATGAAGGTACAACAAGACATCATTTATTAACTCTTGAAGAATTTAGTGCTTTTGTTTGTCCAAATTTGAAAACTTAACAAATTGTTTGTAATCAAACAGACTAGAGAAAAGGGAAAAAGCTAACCAATAAGCACCAAATTGAGCTTGGCGCACTGCAAAAGAAAGAAAACAAACAAATGAACATCATATGGATAGAATGGATATAAATGGAGTTGGAAGCTGCTGAAAGAAAAGAAGAACTTAAGATCATATTACATTGTAAATCTGGAAAGCTTTGCCAACGCTGACGGTGACAAAGGTTTCCGTCCCCAGTCGCTGAACAGAGAACGGAACTGCGCTCGTTATATATCCAATTGCTCTATACGGCTCAAAGATCCCCATTACTGAGGGGAAGAGAATGAAGACAGCAAACAGAAGAGAAGATAAATGGTACTGAAACATTTACAGTTAAAGTCATTCGGATGAGCGACAACAAGGTCAAACTAATATGCAGCCAAATATGATGCAAAGAAATCATATCAGGCATTCAATTTGTAAATAAAATGCTCAACAAATGATATGTATGATTCACATGCAAAATGGCAGTACACAGATATGATGGAAAGCAAATTTTCAATAAAGATCAAACATTATTCATATAAATGAATACCACACAAAAAATTACCATTCATAGTCAACTTTAACACACAATTCCTAGATAAAAAATAATAGAAAACATGAAGAGGATCATTTTAGTCTAAATGTTACAAGTTTGGAGGTTGTGAGTTACTAAAGCAAGCAAACACAAGAGGCTCCCTGCATTTTATTTTGACTCCGACTCATAAGAAATTGGTTATATCTATTTGAAGTTTTATGCCACATATCCACTTAATATACATGGAAAATGCAAGTAACTTAGAATAACTCGAAAAACAAATTAAAGAAATTGTTTATTAAAACTAAACCAATCCTTGAACAGTTGAAATAAACAAAACCGGAAACCAAAGAACATCATGCAGCCAGTGAACAACCAAACAGCAAGCAAGCTAACATCATTGGTCTTGAAAGATGGGTCCAAAATGATATAGGATAGGAATTGCGAGGAACTAACTAATTGCATGTATTTTGATTGTGCATAAAGTGCAAGTCTATCCAAGTGACATTCATAACTAAGCAAAATTCAATATCCTAAATTTATTTACAAAACACATCAGAGACAGGGGGAGTCAAATACAGAGAAAATAAATTATCAAAAGGGGATGTCTCATGTGGGGCTGCAATCAAGTCATATTATGCCAACTAAAAGCATATGATTATTTACAGGGAGTAGATCTTTTGAACTGAAAATTTGTGGTGATAGGAAGTGCTGGTATCTATCATTCAGGTTACTTTCAGCACAAGACAGTGGTTGATTTTGAATTAAAAAAGGACTTGCCTCTAACCTCTACAACCATGTTTTTTTTTTTTCCATAGCACCTTCAAAGACAATCATTTAGTACAATCATGCTCCTTGAACCTCGTTTGAAACATGCAAACAGCGTAGAGAACAGCTCAAAACAAACCTAAATTCAGTAAGAAACCAACCTGCATGGACTAAGAAACAAAAGTAGCATACTAATACATAATTCATCCAAGTCCACTTAGAAATTCAATTAATTTCTTAAAAAAAAAGGCTAGGGAATGAAATCTTCAAGCATCCTTCAGATAGAATTCTAAACATTCTCATGAAAAATCCAAACATGCTTCATCATTGTCTCATTCAAAATAACCATGTCAGTAAGGGTCGAGCAAGTGAACACAGAGAAGAAAATAAAGTAAGAGACTGTTACTACGGGTACAGAAACCGCTTAACCAACACCAACATTTGTTATTCAAAACGAACATTCAACATAAATCCATAAAAGAAATTAAAATATACCTCTTACAAGGCTCCAGTCTCTTCCTTCGAATTTCTCAGAACCTAAAGCTCCCTCGTTTCTTCTCTTCTTTTCACTTGAAACCAGAGAACAGAATACCTCTCCAATCTCCAAAACCCCTACTAATCTCTGTTATTTCTCTCACCCGAGATCCTCAACCGCACTCTTTTATCTCCCTCACTCCAAAAACCCAGAAAACGACGGCCTCTGTTCTCACTACTCCGATAAAAGTTCACCAAAACGACTCTCTCTTTTATAGCACTCTCCTTTCTCTTCGCGCGCAAAGGTCTCTGGTCGTCCTTCCTCTGCAAGTGGCGGCTCCACTACCTCGAGTTGCAGGCCGAATTGCAGACGTTCGACAGCTTACTTCTTTCACGCGCTATCCTCACTTCTGCGATTGCCTATCCTTCGTCTCGCGAACCTTTCCAGCTCGTCTCTGCCTTTCCTCTTTGCTCTTTGTCTGCTTGTTCTGTCTCTCCAAACTGTCAGCTTGCCAAAACCCTATGAGACCTCTGTCCGTAGATCAGAAGACTACGGGGCTTCACAAACAAACTGCACCATTAATGTTGTGAGCTGGGCTTTCCTTCATCTGGGCTGTGATTTTTGGTTGTACAATGAAAGTGTGATGGATCTTTCGGGTTTTAAGAGTTTCATTTGATGTATATGGATTTTTTTTTTAGTTTAATGGAGTAAAATGATAATGGATTTTTGTGTAAAAAGTAAATGAATAAAATGGACTGGATTTTACTGTGAAGATGAAAATGTGTCGTAAAATTAATTCAATTGTAATTGATCAAATCATATAAGACAATACATTAATATATTATTTTATTTTTTTAATATTTAAATCTTTCCAATGTAGAAGAAAACTCTTAATTAAATTAAAATTATGGTATAATTAGGGACTGCAATTAGTTAGATTCCCAACAGATTTCGTGAAACTTAAACCATACTAGCAAACGCAACATAACAACTCGTACCAACTTTCAATTTGTAAAGGATATATATATAAAAAAAAAAAAAAGAGTTTTATTTACATTGATACGGATTTTGAGCTAAATTCACCCATAATTATAATACTTGCTATTTCACCCGCATGCCCTTTCTTTTTTTATGTGCTTAATTTGTGTTTTATATATATTGATATATCAAAATATTAAATTAGTTCTTATATTATTTAAAATATTCAAATTAGTTTCTTTTTTTTTTGTAATTTTATTTTTTATACTTTAAAAAAAAAATCAATTTAATCCATAATGATTAATGCTTACTAATATGTTAGCAGAAGTGTCGTGTGGACTCATATGAGCATGTGTCGTATTTTTTGTTGACGTATCATACACATGATGTTACATGAAATTTAATGCATTTTATTTTAAAATATACAATCTCGTAAACTAATTTAATAATATAAAAATAATTGATTTATACTGACTTTTTTAATCTTAAAATTTCTATAGTCACGAACAGTCATATTCTTCAAACATCTATCAACTCTCTTGTTCACATCATGACTAGTTCAATGACCAAAATTAGTTTTTTTTTTTTTTTTGGTTGAGTCAAACTCCTTATATTGGCTCATTTTCTAGCAAATAATAACATATATGGTGTATTCTTCTAAAGCAAATGACAACTTCTAACAATTTATTTTCCAACAAATAGTAGTCAAAACAAAAGTAAAAAGCTTAATTTGCACATTGGGAATAACGACATATCTAGTGCCTTCTTCTCTGAGCACGTGCATTGTCAATTAGTTGCGTACGTTTTACTTTTCTTCATTTAATTTATTGTTGTATGGTTTATTTAAATACAATGTTATACCTCTATTCAACTTAGTCAATTGCCACCACAAATTTACAAATGGTACAAAGTACTTAAGCATATTGGGTTATATGATTAAAAAATTGCATTTATACATGTGAATTACGAGTTATGCGTTTTAGGATTATGCATATGATTATTTGTTTTTTAACATTAAAACAAATGTGAAATTAATTTTGAGCATAAGAGTAGTAGTCCTTTTATGATTGACTTTGAAGATTATGTAGAGAAATATAAATTATAGTTTACATCAACTTTTCTTATAATTGTCATGTAAAATTTATTTCTTTAGTTTTTTAATCAAACTAATTCAATCATAAGATTTATAACTTTCACATTCAAATCCCAATTATTGAAAATTGAAAATAAGGCAACATTAATGATCACTTTACAAATAAGATTTTACTAGATATGTATATACACATTTCAAAAGATAAAACAAACAATGGTTCAATGAAATCATGAAGAAACAATTTTACATAGAAGTTGTTCCTATCTTACACAGCATTCACTCCATTTATGAGTTATGAGGTTTTAGTTGGGGGGACCATAAAGACTTGTA